TTTCATTATCTAATTTAAAAACTTGAATAGTAAAGCGAAAAATTTAAAGTTGCATGTTTTTTTTTTAAGAATATGATCATTTAAATTAATAAAAATAATAGATTTAATAAAAGTGAAGTAATTATACCGTAAAAAATGCTTTTCTGTGCTTGGATTACTATAGAAACATATTTTTAATTAAATACTGGATGCATATTTCAGCTAATGTTTTCTATAGAAATAATAAAATGAAAAATAAAAGGTAGTTTATTCAGTTAATTTATGTATGCGTTAGTAAAAATACACATAAAATAACTGCAATTTAATTAAAATACTAGAACAATATTTGTAATTATTTTTTAAATCCATAGTAATATTATATGACATTAATTTTTAAATATATGTATTCCGTTGTTAATCTATTGTTCTATGTTTATAAAAACTATCGAAAATTTATGAGGATAACTAAACTATTATTCTCATGGGAAGGAAATAATTTTGAATCAATATTTCCTTTACTAAATATTAATACACCGAGTCTTTCTCTAATTATATTTACAGTATGACCTGTTTAATAAGAAAATAAATCTGAAAAACAGATATAGCTGTTACATTTATCAGGAAAAAAAGAAAAAGTAAAAATGCACACAAATTAATGCAATTTAATTAAAGTATTTAAACAATACGTATAGGAGAGAGTCGTGTAGCCCCGCCCACTTAAGGAGTATTGCTTATATTTCTGTATAATATTGAGTAATAATCAATATTTTTGTATGTTTCTATTGTTTTATCATCTAATTAAATAATGCAAAAAGAATAAACCAAAAAAAGAATAGTTTAACTTAAAAAAATAGAAATTTAAAAAAACATGTTTTTCAGCTCTTTTCAAAATGTGTCGGGTAGCCCCGCCCAGTTACAAAAATTATGTTTTTTGACTGTTTTTTCAGGTGTAAATGAAAGTGACCAATGTATTGACAATAGATAAACCTCATTTATCATTTTTATCACAAAATTATTTTATTTATTACATATTTAGATATTTTTAGTGAATTATATCATTTAATAACAATCATTTAATAACAACAATATTTGTTGTTAAAAATGCATATAACATTCAAATTTGAAGCAATAAAATAATAATGTTTGCAACCGTACATTTATCGACAAAATAAAATTGGGCGGTGATATCCGACATTCATGTGAGCGGGGCTACCCGAAATCCAATTTTTTTGTAAATTTGTAATTACTCGAACAATTTTTTACATACAAACTTCTTTCTTTGTGCAAATTAAACTTAAGACTACATACTTTAATGCTGTATGTATAGAAAAAATTATTTTTTTAGTATTAAAATGAAGTTTAATCGAAACATTCAACCAATTTTTCTTAATTTCATGACTACTGTATTCAACATATTTTCAAAACTATTGTTTACCATGTTACCAGCTGCATAAATACTTGAAACTTTGAAAATAATCTTTTTTTTAATATAACAATTAATGTCCGTTGGCCCATTGACTTGAAAAAATATTCTATACATATGAAATTGACTGCGGGCGGGGCTACCCGACTCTCCCCTATAGCTGTTATGTTTATCAGGAAAAAAAGAGAAAGTAAAAATGCACAAAAATTAATGCAATTTAATTAAAATATTTAAACAATATGTATATATCTTTTCATTAAATCGATTCTATAGAAATAAAACATTATGTTTTTAAATACACGTATTTTGTTGTAAACTTTGTGTCCAATATTAATAAAAACTATCGGAGAATAAAACTGTTATTTTCTCGGGGAAGAAATAATTTCAATGCCACATTTCATTTCCTAGATATTTATTATTTTTGTTTCAATACGTTTCTTACAATGCAATCTACGTTAATATTTACAATGCAATCTAGCGATTGAGAAAAGAAATATGAAAAACAGATATATTTGTTATGCAAGGAATGGGGAAAGATAACAAAAAAGCAAAAGGAAACTGATAAAAAGAGTTTTAGTGTGCAACAGATTTATGTTTTCTGCTCCCCCCAAAAAGAGAAGAAAAAAAGGGAAAAAAAAGAAACACAATTCTCTTGAAAATAAAAGATTTCGGCTTGAATATTCTTTTTCTTCTAAATTTACGATGCCGGGGACAAAAAAGCGCAAATGCAGCATAAATTTGATTTCAAAATAAAGTGAATAAAGGTTTAAGAGGAAGTATCTTATTGCCTTACCCTTAAAATATTTTCCCCTTTAGTGAAATAAAACATTTTTACGATTCGTGATAATGTACAATTTCCTTCCAACTTAATTTCATTAATTTTACAATTACAGTTTATTAAATTTCATTTAAGCGTTCTTGACTGATGATAGGCAGCTTCGAGTAATGTTATAAATTTCTCATTGAAAAGATTGTTTAAGTTTAAGGAAATTGCGAATTTATTTCATTATAGCATCGAGTATCGTATAAAACAGTGTGGAATAACAATATTTTAAATCAAATTCAATTTCCTCATTTTAATTGGAGATGCATTTCATTGATAATTTTAAATATAGTAATAATGTATCAATAATTGAAGCTAAAATATAATTTGTTTTAATATATGAAGAATCTTTCAATATTTAAAGAATCCACTAACCAAATTCTTCTTTTATTAAAATTAGGTAACACATAATAAAAACAAAAAAAAAATTATAATTCCTCATTTAAATTCGCCCATTCTATAAAATCTCGAATTTTAAGATATTACGTGTCGTAATAATTATTTATTAAAAATATCGTGATTTAAAAAAACGATGTCGAAATGTGTGGAAAAACTGAAATAAACTGTAATAACTTTCGAAAAAGTGATCGGAAATTAAAGTGGATCTACGATTCAATCCACTCTATAAAAAAGTGACTACTAAAATACAAAACTCTTCAAGTTATAAAATTGTAATAAAAATATCGGAATTGAAGAGGAAACCAGGCGGAAATAGCTAAAAAACGACTAATAGCTGCCGAAAAAATGATCCATAAAAGACGTGGATTTACAAAAGAATCGTTACGGATCGAGCGTGTTAAGACATGACTTCTTAAATTCACCATGCATAATTTTTGTGATAACATTGTATAAAGACTATCAGAATAAAAATATATAAGCAAATGGATGAAATAATGATCGAAAAACGACATGGACTTACAACTGAATTGTCGTTGTGAATCAATCCGGTTAAAAAGTGATATCTCAAACTAAAAATTCGCGTTTCGTTGTACTAATGTATTAAAAATATCAGATTTTTTAAAAAGCCGAAAGCATGATGAATATCAGCCGAAAAAACTATTATTTAATGACGTGACATTACGATGGAATCCTCACAAATCGGACGCGTCTAGGAATGATACCTCAAATTCGAAATTTGCTCTTCCTAATAACATAGCAATAAAATATGAGAAAGTAAAAGACCAAGTGAAAAGTATCAAATCTATTTCAAATAAAGTGAAAGTATGATGAAATCATTACGAATTGTCAGAAAGTGATAACTCACATTCGAACGTCGTAAAAACATTGAATCAAAAACATCGAAAAAATAAAAAAAAACATCTGGAAAGGGTGGCAAAATTTTTAAATAACTTTTGTAAAAATAATCATCGACGGCAGTGTTTCCCAAAGTGTGGTACGCGTACCCGCAGGGGTATGGGAACAGTTAAGCGGTATTCCGCGTTCTTATGCGAAATATCTTGTAACAAACAAAAATTTCAAAAAATTTTATTTAAAAAATAAAGCTAGCTATGAAAATTTACTATTACGTATTTTCCTATTAGATATTTTTTGTAGAGATAGCAGTAATTAATTGGTGGTGTCAACAGCCAATTGTGATTTGTAACTTTTGTGCAATTTTTTTATAGTAAAAAATACATTCATTTGTTTATTAGAGGTGCACAACGTTATGAAAAATTTAGAAAGGGTACACAAAAGTCATGAGTTTGGGAAACACTGATCTACTGAAATTATTATGGAATCACCACGAATCGAACACAATTCGAATGTCGTTACTTCAGTTTTGAACTCCCGCCGATACTTAGAACGTGTAATGTTATATTTGTAATTTCCCATTCGTTATATAGCTGGGTTAGGATTTGAATCAAGNCATCAGTCACCATTTACTACACGGGGAGTCTTCGGCCGGCGAGGATCGAACCCACGACTTCTTGGGTATGGGCCCAGCGCCCTACCAACCAGGCTATCCCGGCCCAAAGTCATGAGTTTGGGAAACACTGATCTACGGAAATTATTATGGAATCACCACGAATCGAACGCAATTCGAATGTCGTTACTTCAGTTTTGAACTCCCGCCGATACTTAGAGCGTGTAATGTTATATTTGTAATTTCCCATTCGTTATATAGCTGGGTTAGGATTTGAATCAAGGTAGCGAAGGTACTTTATAAGTTGGACGCCAAAAATGACGATTGGGTGAAATTTTGTAAGATACGATCGATGCAAATTACGACTAACGACTGCTTATTTCAAATCCTGATTACATCTATAAGAAATATTCGTCTGTATCACCACTCTGTCTCACTCTAAGAATTAAGCTAGTTCTCAAGTTTTCTACTCCCATTTCATAGAATTAAGAAGAGGGGGATTCAGTATTGAGATATATGTTAATCTGTAAAACAATCATGCCCTCTAATTGAAAGAATTAGAAAAGTGGGGAAATGTGGCATTAAGAAGTCTGTCAATTGTAGACTCTTCTTATTAAAAGAATTAAGAAGTCGAAAAAATTTAGTATTTAGTCATCTGGTAATTTGTTAACCAATCTGGAACATTTATACACCAAACATCAATATAAAATGTCAATCATAATTACTCGCATTTCATGTAATCCTGTTAAATTTAAGCATTTTGATAAATTAACTGCATCACAATAGTTACCCATATAAAATTTCAAACAATCTCAACCCATTATGTAATACTTTTGATACCTTTTAAAAAACGTTTACTTCTTATATTGTATTGTAGTATGTGTTATTGATACTTGGTATTTGTTTTACAGACTGCGGCTGAGTATGCTGGACAGTATGATAAGAAAAGAGAGCAAGAATACAGTCGTTTTCATGGTTATGCTTATGATGGCATATGGGCAATTGCACTTGCCATTCAGAGCGTCTCTAACAGACTAAAAGCAAAAGGTAAACTGTTAAAGGAGTTCCAATATAGAGACCCGTTTTGGGGTCAGTTGTTCAGGGACGCTTTTAACGAAACATCTTTTACTGGAGTCACAGTAAGTATTTTATTTTAATAAACTAAAGAACTCATAAAATAAGGACGCAATTCAAAATATAAATATAATTTAATATTTTGAACTTAATTCATAAACTCAAAATATTACTTCAATTATTTAAAGCTGTTAAATGTATAACCAATTGTGAAATTTTAATATATAATAAAATATTTACAAATTTTTAATTATTGTACTTTGATAATTAAATTTTAATAAATGTTATCTTTGCATTCGACATGATTAAAAAATCATTTTATGATTTCGAAGGTGTATAAACATCCATTGACGGTTAACCCCCTGATGATTCTACACGTAAAAGTCATATTTTGACCTGCGGTCTTCTCCGCATAGCAAAACCGGTTTTTTCATGTTATTAGACAGTGAAATAGTATATAGAAGAAATAGCATATAAGAGATAAAAGAACATTCTCCAAATATTGCTCATTTTCTAGGCATGTTAAAGCAACAAGTATGTAGTAATAAAGGAAGTTAATGTCAATATATTAGAATCCTATTTCTATGCAGATCAGTGCATGCTCAATTTCAAATGAATTTTCAAAACAATAAAATAAAACAATTAATTATTTTTGTTGATACTAGACGTAAATACGTTTTTACAGTCAAATAAAATGGTTTTCAAAGACGCAGGGATCCTGGTAATAAAATGATATTTAAAAGGTTGAACCAGAGCTCATTTACATGTTGTTCTCATTTACATGTAAATGAGAACAAACAATATTTCTGATCTAAACATTAAATTTGTTTCATGGAACTGTAAATTTAATTATAATCCCCAATTGCCACTAAACGGACTAATTTTAAATTTTATTTGTAAATTTCTGAATTTAATTACATGAGTTCTACAGATGTTTTATTCAATAAAATATAATTTTTATAATTCCATTTAAAAACTGCATTTATCTCACACCGATTACATAATTGTTATGTCATACTATAAAAAGTAGTTTACATAAATATAGATGCATTTCAGAAAAATTTATAATACAAAAAGTAACTTTTAATTTACAGAATAAATTCAATAGTTTAATCAAGAAATCAGCAATTCTTTCTTCAAACTTTCCATCATGGACAGATTATTTATTAACATTTTAGACATTTCAATCTACAAAAAGCTGTATTCTTGGAATTTTTATTATAGGATATCAAGATAAATCTTTTTCTGAAAGTAATCATTTGTAATCTTAAAAACTTTCACCCATAGAAATTTTTTTAATATATTTGTCAAAGTTCATTATAAAACTGAGTATTGTATATTGAATAATTGAACACGTTCTCCTATTGAAGCGAAGCTAAACAATATAAATATCTAAACTTCAATAAAGGATTGTTGACAACTCTAGGTTCCGAGGCGACATTTGTTTGATTGAAATAAAAATGGAATTTTCTTCTTTAATAAAAACTGAAGATATAAAAAGAGAAAATAAAATTGGGAATTTCGTATTTTTCTCAACCTTAAGAAATCTCTTTTACAATCATTTTTTTTTTTTTTTTTAAAATCGNTGCCTTTTTTTTTTTTTTTTTGTAAAATCGAAATTGCTGATGACAGAATTATTGAAAAGTGACTATTACCTTCTTTAAAACTTTTTCTTCGCAAAAGATGCCCATTTTTAATACATTTTTTCACTTTAATTTAATAAATGAAAGTTAAAAAGAATTATCAGGGAAAGCAGTTCTTTTTACTTTGAAGTCAATTTTTATTCATGAACGATTGCTAAATCCAATTACTCTAAGCTGCTTTCATTTTTAAAGAACATTTTTACTTACAAGCATATATTTGTATTTTTTTTCCTTTTTTTACAGAATTGTTTTGAAGTTACGTTTTTTTGTGGTAGAAATTAGCAAGTCACTCATTTATTTTAGTTGTTACGCTCGCAATGTTGATTGTGTCTTGAATTTGTTTTGTTACATTTGTTTACAAGACTGTTATGAGTGCTTTAAATACAATATTTCTTTAAAGGAAAGTAACTTGTTTCTTATGTAAAAAAATAAGCTCTCAATACTGCACAAATAAAAAAGAAATAAATAATTTCTGCCAAATCACTGATTCAGCATTTCTCTTTAGACTTTTTCGTCAAAGCTATTTGTCTTTATAAATGAAAGTTAGTTTATTTATTGTGTTTAATGCGTGAATAAAAGCATACACGTAAAGTATTCTTAGTAAAATTTATGTAAACTGCAAAAATTTAGCTGCGTCATATTAATGGTGCTGTAAACATTTCTTTATTAACTGTATAAAATTATATTTCTAATGGTATAAAATTGTATTTTTAACGGTATGAAATTGTATTAATAATTTAGTAAATCCTATTAGATCTTTATTTGACACAAATGTGTTTGTTTATAGGAGTATAAGCTCAATATCATTCGCTCAAAACGGTTGCTATTTTTGTAAAAACTCTGCATTTGAGAAATATCACTAACCATAACGACACAATGAGTTAAAAATGTTTAAAAAAATGATTTATGATCAAAATAATAAATAAATTGTGGAGTATTATAAATAGAGCTAAAAAATAGCATTTATTTCTTTTGTATTATATAAACACAAGTTAGTAATAAATTTTATTTAAATCTACCTTATAGTGGTGGTGTTAATGAACCAAGTATGAAACTTTTGAATCTCGTGATTTTGAACAGAAGAGCATTAAAGGTCATTTTAGGGACAATAAATAGTGGTCAAAAATACATAAAAAGATACAATATTTAATTACTACTTCTTTGAAATTTCTGGGTGCGTTTTAAATTGCATTTTTTTTTCAATTTTATAAATAAAAATAAACATAATAATTCGACCATATTTCGGCAATTCTTAAGTTAGTTTTAAATTAAAAATTGTAGTTTTGAAAATGCGAGTTTCTTGTGCTTTAATATTAAGATAAGATTTATTTTCAATAAACCATGTTTCAAACGAGTCCACAATTTTATTTAAAGTTTGTACACATATCTTAAACTTAGTTGCTTATTTTTTATTAAAACTAATTGTAATTATTAAACGTTAAACTAGATGTTTTAAAAAAAATGCAATTTCTTTTTTAGGGTCCATTCAGCTTTAGGAAAAACGAACGGCGTAGCTCAATTCTTTTAAAACAATTTCAAAGTGAGCAAAAGTTTATATTTTTTTTTTCCTTGTACAATTTTTTTAACTAAGTTCATTTCTTCTTATATAAAGCTGTTTAAGGAGTATTGATTTTTTTCAACTTGAGTTTTTTGGTTGTACAATGCGCAAAATAAAAAACGAACCACCCTGAATAACTTTTGATCTAATGATCAAGTCCTCACGTTCTAGGACTCAATCTAACTGTCTCAAAAGATGCATTCAAATATGCTAATTAATTAGTGCAGACAACATTTCAAGTTACGAAATCAGTCACAAAAACGACCCTCCTTTAAATAAACATACAATTTTCTCGACGCATTCTAATTTTTGACCTCAAATATATAGGGGGAAGCTATATTTGACTAGTTGGCTAATTAATTAGCGCTGACAATATATTTCAAGATTCGAAATCAGACACAAAAACGTACTTTTTCTGAAATTCATACCTTTTTTTCGACAAAATCGGACTTCTGACCCCCAAACTATGAGGGTTAAAAGTCATCTGGAAAATATTGTCCTATATGAAATATTGTAATAGTTTGGTCTGAAGAGCTGTCCAGTGCTATGATCCTTTAATGTTAATTTTACTTTTTGTATATTCCACCATGTCACGTGAACTTTTAAAGTGAATTGAAAACTTTTTACCCTCAATTATAAAACTCGCTTATTTAGACACAATTTCGACCAAAATATTACATTTAGTAAATATATTTACTTATTCAATATTTTATTTTATAATGGTCGAAAACATTTTGAATGGTAAGGTATACAATTTTTTCGTTTTATTTTAATAAATGCGATTTCGATAGGCAAAATGCAAAATTTGAGCAAAATCTGTCATATTGTTTGCTGAGAAATAGAAATTTGAGAAAAGTAGTATTTTTAAATTCTGATTTCTCAGGTACTGTTCGACCGATTTCACTTAAATTTTATTTTTTGTCTTTTGAAATTGCATTCTTCAAAATAGTGTAGAAATTGTATACCTTGCAATTCAATATTTTTTTCGACTTTTATTAAATTAACTAAATAATATATACTAAAAGTAGTATATATATATATAGTAGTATAATAATATATACTAAAAGTTTTATTTTGGACGGAATTATCTTCGGACTAATGAATCTTTTTAACGTATGCATAATTTTTTCAATTCGATTAAAAAGATCGGGAGATAGGATGAAATACAAAAAAAGTAAAATTAACATTAAGGGGTCCAAATTTAGGACCACTCTCTTGACCTAACTAATGGAACCATATTCCCAGATTGGGGTTGCTCCCTATTCTTTGACCTTCAAAAATTGAATCAGAAGAAATAAAAGGTATGTTTGTTCTGAGAGAGTACGTTTTTGTGTCTGATTTCGTAACGTTAAATATCATCTGAACTGATTAATTTTTTGAGGTCCTCTTCTCAAATTATTAAGACTGAGTTCTAGTTCGTGAAAATCCGATCATTGACTTAAATGTTATTTAGTGTATATGTAGGGGAGAGGGGGGCACATGTGAACAATTTTTTTAATTTCTACATTTTTCAAAAAATATCATCAATTTCTCACAGTGAAGATGTCCATGTGTTTAAATATTCTTTTCTTTGTCTTATGGAATTTTTTGAGATTTTTCAATAAGATATTTCTTTACTTTATGATATTTTAGAAAAATGACTTCAATTGTTCACATGCGCCTCTATTGGAGGCACATGTGAACATGCTGGGGGCACATATGAACAAGATTAAATACACAAAGCAATCATCATATTTCAAAGAAAAAAATCTTCAATATAACAGATATGGATATGCATTATACTGAAGGGGTTGTAGCTTACTATGTGAAATTAAATTGTACAACAGTACTGTCAATAAGAAAATAATTTTTCAGCTGTACAATAATTTATCCGTAATTGGGTTTTTCGCAACTTCATGTTCCACGGGTGTTGTAATGGGCCTTTTTCTTTCTTCTCTAATACTCTTTCATGCTTTTTTTTNAAAAATTGAATCAGAAGAAATAAAAGGTATGTTTGTTCTGAGAGAGTACGTTTTTGTGTCTGATTTCGTAACGTTAAATATCATCTGAACTGATTAATTTTTTGAGGTCCTCTTCTCAAATTATTAAGACTGAGTTCTAGTTCGTGAAAATCCGATCATTGACTTAAATGTTATTTAGTGTATATGTAGGGGAGAGGGGGGCACATGTGAACAATTTTTTTAATTTCTACATTTTTCAAAAAATATCATCAATTTCTCACAGTGAAGAAGTCCATGTGTTTAAATATTCTTTTCTTTGTCTTATGGAATTTTTTGAGATTTTTCAATAAGATATTTCTTTACTTTATGATATTTTAGAAAAATGACTTCAATTGTTCACATGCGCCTCTATTGGGGGCACATGTGAACATGCTGGGGGCACATATGAACAAGATTAAATACACAAAGCAATCATCATATTTCAAAGAAAAAAATCTTCAATGTAACAGATATAGATATGCATTATACTGAAGGGGTTGTAGCTTACTATGTGAAATTAAATTGGTACAACAGTACTGTCAATAAGAAAATAATTTTTCAGCTGTACAATAATTTGGGTTTTTCGCAACTTCATGTTCCTCAGGAGTTGTAATGGGCCTTTTTCTTTCTTCTCTAATACTCTGTCATGATTTTTTTTCTCATTTTTTCTATCTTTTCATTTGTAGCTTTAGCAATTATCTCTTTCTCATGTGTATCAGTTAATAAGCGTGATGCGCGATCAACCATTTAATTAAAAAAAATTTTAAAGAAAAAATTAATAAATTTATTATGGAAAATTAAATAATAATAATTTTAAATGCATGCATATTTTTTAAACTTATAATATTATGAGGATAAAAATCTTAATACTGTAACGTAACAGTGTGACAACTGAGCTAAATGCATCAATTCCTCGAGAGGTAATGCTAAAATGATGTTGCTTGAGAGACACACACAAGAAGTGATGTTCTTTTTTTGTTGTTGAAGAAGAGAGTTTTTTTCTGAGAAGAGATATTTCNAAAAAATTTTAAAGAAAAAATTAATAAATTTATTATGGAAAATTAAATAATAATAATTTTAAATGCATGCATATTTTGTAAACTTATAATATTATGAGGATAAAAATCTTAATACTATGTAGGGGCAGATGTGAACTGTTCACATCTGCCCCAGATGGTTTGTTCACAAGTGCCCCATCATCCTTCTTAAACCTAACTTGAAAATAAAGAATTTTTAATTGAGTGAAAAAAAATTGTTGTCATAAACTTACCTGAATGCTCATATAATGGTCTGCAATAGTTAATTTTAGTTTATTAGTTGATTTATACTATGCTTTCACTTGAAGAAGCGAGTGATTATAATATATACACCACCAGCTGATACAAAGAAATTGTCAGAATAGAAAAGTTTTCTGAAAGTTTTGCAGAGAGGTAGAAGTAGTACTACCATCAATTGAAAATTTTTCGAGATTTTTTATTTCAAATTATATTGGTTAGACGTACCATGTTCACATGTGCCCCCCTCTCCCCTACTCATAAATAAAATTATATTTTCAAAATAGTAAAATTGTACTTATTATTTCAACAAGATATTTGGAATATAATTTAAAGCGAATTATCAATTACCATAAACATTGTTTACATACTTTAATTAAGCAGATAGAGAAAATAGACTGCATTTTTGCGTTTTTACTATATCGCAATTCCTTTACATATAAGCAAATATTATTTCTTATTTTTTTTAATTATTCGTTATTTATTTTCTACACAAATAAATTCATTTTTCAAATTCTTTAATAGTTCTAATTATTTAATTTATTTAAAAATACTTTTTTTGTACATAAAGTCTTTATTTATAAGCTTTATTAGAAAAAGAATTAACGTATTTTATGCATTTCATATACCAAGACTGAATATACATTATTTAACTTAATAATTTTTCTGTTACACATCATTTATGAGGTTAAAAACAAGAATAAATGTATCATTATTTGTTGTTATAGATGGAACTGAACTTAAAATAGGAGAGTATGATCCTAGCATTGATGAATTAGATTTTAGTAAAGGAGCTCCAATAATTTGGAATGGTAAAAAAATTAAATTCTTTTTAATAATACATATTTCTTTCTACATAATGTGATTATAAACCAAATCTATACCAAAAAAATAATTTGATCACTGAAAATTTAATAAAATTTTACACTTTATATTTTCCAATTAAAATAAATTTAAAAAAAAATGAACAGGATATCTAAAATATTCATAATACTTAACTGATTAAAACAGATTTGTGTTTTCTTTTTATGACTTGGTGATTTATAAATTTTAAATCCTGACAAAATTTCATTCTAAGCGATCATAAGCCCTATAATAAGCAGATTAAAAGTTTCCGTGTATATGCAGATGTTATGAATTATCATCCTTATTATTTAAAGGAATTTAGGGAACCAGATATTTTTCACTTGAACTGCTTAAATCCGATTAATTTTTAAACATTAGGGTCGATTATACGTAGCCATAAAAAACATCATATTTATCATTTTTACAGCACATTTATGCGTTGTTCCTCAGTTTAAAATCCTTGCTTATTGTAGAAATAGAATCGTGAAAAATATTTTATCTAAACATAAAATCACAAAACCAATTTACTAGTTTATTTATTTATGAAATTAAAATATTTGATTTAGAACAAGGATCAATTTTTAACGAGTTTATTAACTGCTTCAGTCTTAACTTTTTCTTTTATTTTGCATTTTATAATAACGAAAGTGAGATAGAATTATAAAATAAAATTAAACAATAGATTAAAATAAAATTATTCAAAAAATAAGAACAGTTTCTGTAATAAGCAGAACAAGATAAATCTTCACCAAATTGTTTTTCGAGAAATCAGTTTTAGAACTTCGTGATATAATATTATTAATACGAATATTGTCTTCTTTCCTATTCATCTTTATATTTATCGCCGTAATTATTGCACACCTTAATGATCCTTTTAACTTGCATTATTTACGAATTAACATTTGAGATATGTTTCAACAAAAGTGTAGAAACACTGATAAATATACAATTGTGCTTTGATAAAATACAGGGTTCGTAAAAATATTTAATTCAATTTTAGAGGATTTTCATTTACATGTACAGATGCACATGGTAACACACCCATACACATTGTAAGGTACACACACTTAATTTGATACTGCATACTAGAAATCCGCCAGCAAACATCATAATGGTAAATTAGTTTCACCGTTGCGTTTAACAGCATGCTTTAATCATTGTTCGTCACAACACAAGTAATGTGTCATTTGGCACTTTGGTATATGAATTTCTGGAGGACAAAGATACTGTATCCTCCTCCCGAAAAAAAAAAGAAAAAAGAACAAGATGACTTTACTGTTGTGACGTAATTTGATAAAAACATGATTTTGAACATTTATGCGGGATGTGTGCCGGTCATTTCATTTCAAGTATGTGGGAAAAAAATTTGTGTGTGGATGCATTTTTCCTTTCTTTAAAATAACAGTAAACAGTTCTTTAAAGTGGAGTGAATCATCAAGGCTGACCCTGAATTGTAGTGAATAAATTCTGCAAATCATATAAGCATTTTCATCACATGTCATTATATTTAATTTAGGTGGCAGTGGGCCTGCAGCGGATCGAACGCACAGAAAAATAGAGAAAAAAAGAATAAGTATTACAGTTTATTCCATCCTCGTTACGTTTGCAATTCTTGGCATTATAATAGCTACAATATTTTTAGTAGTTAATATAAAGTATAGGAATCAAAGGTGAGTTTATCCTAAATTGTTATATATTTATGTGCATGTATTTAAAATAACATTCACTATACATGTTTAATATGCAGATAGATTCATATTTAGTACACATGTGAAAATGACTAATTAAATTTTATTCAGTTTCACTCCTTGCTTTAATCAAGGGGGGGGTATTGCATCTTTTGCATTGCGCAGGAGGTAGTTTTTCAAAAATCTATGTTCAGTGCTTGCTCAAAGAGTGCAACGACGTTGCCATGTTGAAGCCAGTGGTTAGTGGGTGACCCTTAACTCTCTAACAACCGTGAGGTTAGGAATATTATCACCTTGTCAAATTATTTCTCTAATTTTCAGTTCTCGATTAAGTTTACTAGAAATGAACAAAAAATAATAACTTCGTGAATCAATTTAAAGGGATTATGTACAGATAATAGCACGACGGTATCTGTACCAAGACCTTATAAGTGGAATATAAGAGCTAAACGAAAGTTTCAGTTTAATCAGCTACGCACTGAAAATGGCTTATTGTTAATTTTTTCTGGAAAATAAAAGTAAATAATGAGAGAGAATTACATATTTCTGTATAATTTTGTATAATTAAATAAGCATAGTATAAATTAAAATACAGCAAATCAAAGCTTCAAACCAGTGACGGGAGTTTTATAAAATACTAGTTGAATACCCGCTCTTTGTACGGGGTGTACAAAGAGGAATCAATAAATCAAAATAAATACTGAGCAAACTACAAAATCATGCAATGAGCTGAAAGACAAATACCGACTCGTTTAATGAAGCTAAAATAATTTCAATATCTTCTTTTATTTGCTATTATTCTCTGCCTTTCCCTATAATTTTATGGTATTAGATTTAGCAAGAAAAATTTCGCTATGTAATTCCATGAAAATAAAAATTAACTTTATTCAGTATCATCTGGTCTAAGGCAAATGCTTGAAGTCAACTCATGATCTTTTGAATTTACCACTATCAAGGAATTCTCTCCTGTACTTACACCTTCAGGGGATCGTAATAAACCTAATTTCACAGTATCTATAATAAAAATGCGCAGCAGTGATACAGTTTTGATTGGTACTAAATTTACTTAAATACTTTATACCCAAATAAGTATATTTGGTACCTATTACAACTGCATCTATTACTTTAATACGAGCAAAATGGCGTGTTAAAGTTGAGCTACATGTCTCCAGATAAATTAGAATGTTAATTAGCATGAAGTTATTTAACTTCCTTATCACACATCCGTATCGCACATCGAATTCATTGAAATATAATTCTTTATCGTCTACATCTCTTACTTAACTTAGATTTATTATTTATGTATTTCATGGCAAACCTAAATCTGGTAACTTCAATGCATATTTAGTTTGTTTATGTTCCACATAATTTCATGCTTGTCTTTGTGTTAAGTAAGAAATATATAGTGAAATAATTGAAATATTTCAGAAGAATATAGGATGTGTCACTTAAGAAAATTGATACTTGATGGGCTTGGCTCACTCAAAATGGAATTGAAGTAACATTTACTAAAGTAAACAAATGCCACGTTTCAACAACCAATCAGGATCGAGATACCCACACTACGTCATTTGCAGGCATATAATAATTTCTCCAGTACCAAGTCTAGAAACAAAAAGAAAAAAAGAAAAATTATGCTGGCTACTAGCATTTAAGACTTCGAATCGTAAGATTAATTTTATCATCAAATATCCTTCATCAAATTAATGAAGGGTATACAGAACAAGCCAAAATGAAGTGATTTTAAAATAAGTTTAACAAAACAGAAATTTACATTCAGAAGTTTCTTCTTCGCAATGAACTTAAAACTAAACAAACTATTGACAAAAAACATCCCAGATTATATGGTTTTGATAAATGGCAATCTAGAAATACACTACTACTGTGCTTTCAGACGCTCACAATTATCCACTAAAAAGTTCTTTTAACGACTTTCAAAGTTAACGCATTAATAAACTTTTGTTTTCGGAAGTCATCAGTTTTCTTTGACATAATAAATCCTTTCAATATACCGCAGATGGTACCATTTACAAAGTTTTTGCCAAATCGATGTTGCTATTGAAAGCAGAAGACGAATGATTAATGACCGGAAGTCAATGAATTTGTGTTTCAACGCTCATGCATGATATTTGATCATTTCTCTATTCATTAAAACTTCATTTTCAAAGAAGTTGCTAAATAAACTTCCATGCATATTTATGCTGAAAAACTTATGTTAAATCAGTTTCAAAATATATTAAAAAGGGAGATTTAGCACACGAAATGTAATATTTTAAACACTGAAAAAAATGTATTTGTTGCGTTTTTGTAAACATGTGTATGATCTTGTGAATATTCTTTTGTTATGCTGCTAAATATCTCAGACATCCCTATATTAAGAGTTTAGAAAACTTACAAGGAAGTCGCTTACTTCTAACGTAATGTAGAGAGAAATTTGCGTCTAATGTATTTCTTATGAAAGACTCGGCTTGGCGTGATTTTTGTCGATTTGGTGATAATCTTGGCAACTTAGCCACCATTTCGGAAACGAAATGATAGTTCTGGAAAATTCGAGTATCAAAACGATTAGACCAATATTTATGGAGTTTAACAAGAATTATCAAGATAGAAGCATGTCAAAAGTTTCGAAGTTTCCTCGCCAAGCCTATATCTATAGGAGTGTGCCTCGCCAGAGAGTATTAGTCTGCTTGTGACTGTAGTTGTGTTCAGACCTGAGTTAGATCCTTAAATCGCCTGAGATTGTGAAGCTTTTGTTTTGTTGTGTGCTGCACTACTACATGAGCCGTGATTGAATCCTAGCCATAGTTGTATTTTCTGAAAGATTCTGATAAAGAACTTTTGGACTTTTAAAGACTGTTTTATTATTCTCCACACGAAACGAACCCCTGTGCTTCGTACAGTATACTGAAAATTCTCAATTTTTCCATTTTTGACGGATCCATTTCCCGGGAAATTTGTGGGAATCACTGAAATTGGTTTCCTGGAAAGTTGTAAAATTGAATTACGTCAATTTGTGAAAAATAAACAATTTGGACTTGTTTGAGAATAAGAATTTCGTCCAAAGCGTTGACCTTATTACAACACATCAGTTTACGCAATTGGTTTGGAAATACAACTTAATATAAAGTGATTATGAGTGAATGAGTCATTATGATTACCATTTACGATAAGATCCTGGTTTGAATGCAAAAAAAAAAAAAAAAACTAACCACATTAACCAATATGCTGTTATATGTAGCACATGATTTTGTAATAAAATAAAAATAAAATGCTTGAGAAACTCCACAATCTACTGAAAAGATAAACAAATGATTATGTAATTTTTATGAATAATTAGCAGTTCGCATCACCTGATTTCAAGTATTCTCAAATGAAACTACACATAGCTCAAGGATCCATAACCAATTAATCAAACGTTTTGAACATTTGGAGAATTATTAAAATGTGCAAAATCTGCGTTTTATATTTTTACTTGAAAACAAAATATTAAAATATGTAATTATTAGTTTTACAATTTTTCACATAATAAAGATTCACATAATAGAGTTTTACAAATTTTAAATGAAAAATGAAGACATAAAAGCTTTATAGCATTTACAAAATTAATGCACAAAATACCTAAAAATTTAAAAATTTTATAATTTATCAAGAATTTCTTTAAGAAAAGGACTAAGTAGATGGTTTAAATTCTATTAAATAAAAGCTTAATAGTTTTTAATCAATTGTAATTATTTAGTAGTTTGTAATTAATTTAAAATACAGAAAAGTAAATTTAACCAAATTAATGCTTTCCCTGTCGCGCTGTAAGGTATCATGATAAAATTACAACCTTGAACACAAAGCAGCATGGTAATAAAACCATATTTTCGAGTTAGCTTTACCAAAAGCCATTGAAAAAAGAGCTTATAAATATTTCCGTGCTTTTTGGTGTTCCCATAGAGTCAGAAAAATGGCGCATTTTAACATATTCTGGTAGTTTTGACCATACTTTCTTCTCACTGTAAGAGTTGACAACTTCGATGGTACATATCCATTTTGTTCTAAAAGGTGTAAAGAAAAAAAAATTTAAAAAAAAGCATTTTTATTATCGACACGTTATTAATGTTTAAAAATTTTATAACTATTCGCATATTTATAGCAGTTTTAATTTATGCATAAAGTCTGAATTAAGTAAGCATTTTTAAGTACACGCAACATAAAAAATAATATTGAACGAAGAATTTTAATTTGAAAATTCCTTTTGCATTTAAAATTGATGTCGACTAAACCAACTATTGGCAAATTGCTTTTAAAGTTGCATTAAGAAATTCAAGTCTGCAAAATTCCACAAATTGTTTTGTTCCTCCACCTTAATTACTTGTGCCACTTTGTTCCGCAAATTAATCTTTTGCGACAAAAGACAAAACGAGCTCTCCAAAATTTTAATTAAAACCATGTATCAGTACTAAGTCTCTCTTTAAATCCAGCATTTAAAAAACACTACTTTCGAGGAAAGTAAATATTTATTCAGTTCAAATTAGAATTAATATTTGCAGCACGAGAGGGAAAATATTTTTTTTTTCTATCTGTAATATGTAATTCCATTTTTTTATGTTCATAAAGCACGCATATTCTAAACTCTAAGATCAAAAACATTTATTTCTTTTCTTGAACAATTTTTTTTCTTAGTAAGGAAAATCTAATCACAAAAATGTGTTCCATAATCGCAAATTGTTTTTGTTCGAGACTATTCAGGATTATCTGTGAACAAGAAAAATATTGATAATTGTAAGTTTAATTTTTATGACGTTTAACTTACGAAGTTTTTTAGTATAAAGAAGTTGCGAAGAGGAAGTACAATGTTATTCTACTTGCATTATACCAGTTATTTTAGAATTAAAATATAAGCACACTACCATTGTTCGGAACGATGAATGAATCTATGAATTTATCTAAGACTTTATCTGAGACTCTGGCTGTTTTTATTTGAGCCATCAGTTTTAGATTTAAAATCTAGAGAAATGAGATGATTATCACTTTCTAGCAAATGGTGAAATCAAGTTTTAATATTTGAAATCATAATCTTAAGTGGATTCGATGTTATCATTAATATATATA